AAACAAATGAAGTGTCGAATAATCAGGAGAATGATCAAAAAGACGCTCAAACAAATGCCACCTTACAAAGCAGCAAAGGGCTGGATGTTTATGAGATAGGTGGAAGTGGAAACAGCCTCAGCCCAGAAGTGAGGTGGAATAGCGGTGGCGATCATCAATGCCTGAGGCGTCTCAAGAAGGTGACGATGCTTGTGCTTAGCCACACCATTCTGAGCATGGGCACTGGGACAAGAAAACTGAGCAGGAGTGCCCTGCTCAGCAAGGACACCATGCAACATCTTGGAGATATACTCACCAGCGGAGTCATCACGAAACACACGAATAGGCCAAGATACTTGAGTGTGGGTCATAGCAGCAAAATGCCTATATATATAGGCAGAACCTCACTGCGGGAAGACATAAATAAAGCCAAGTGTAGCGAGAGAAATCATCTATAGAAGTCCTTAAACCGGAAGAAGAGCAGCAGCCAACCCGAAGGAGAAATTGCAGCGATGGCAACACAAGATTGGACGGGGAGGGCGAGTTGTGGAGCCCAACAAAAAACCTTAAACCCGGGTTCATGATACCATGTTTGCATGCTATCTCTATCGTGTAGCCCGTGGGGCTTATATTTATTACATAAGACTTGGTGTACAAGGAAAGGAAACATAGCCTAATAGGTCTCCTAGATCTAATACTAATACTCCTTAACAAAGTAAACCAGAACTAGGGAGGTGAGTCTCCTCAGCATAAATCTTAGAAAGCGCCTCCATAAGAGAACTATGGCCACGAGCAAACAACAGAGTGCACCATGGATCAAACTCCTTACGGAGCCGAGAAAAGAACTCCCGTAGACGCGATGAAACTCTAAGTTGGACTGGACAGCCTGGCAACAATGAAAAGTACGACAACCAGCAGTGCAAAGAGAGTCAAGCGGGTGCTAGATAGCAGAATTCTGTGCGTAGAAATAATGAACAGAAGATCGTCGGCGACGACCAATGGCAATGCCGGTACTCGGGTGCGTGAGCGGGCCAGTGATCTACGGCGAACTAGCATGATCCAAGGACGTATACGACCTTGAGGCTCCATTGGGCGCTGGTTTGCTTGCCACCGACGTCCGTGACCTCTAACAACGGCGAGCGGTGACGTCTTGCTACTGGACTACATGCTAAGGGTAGCTACCAAACATTGCAGAAAATAGGGGGCTTCGGTATAGGAGCTCACCATGAACACAACGGTGTGCTTGGATCGGTCAAAGGACGTGCGGAAAATAGGGGCTTCTGTAGGTGGAGGAGGAGAGCGGCAACGTCGAGGGAGGGTAGAGGGTGGCTAGGGCTAGGTCGGGGGCAGCTATATAGGCCGAGGCGACGCTGTTCAGCCCGTCAAATTGACGTTGCCGTCAACGTGATCGTGGGATCGTGCTGCCATACAGAGGTAGGGAATAACCAGTGCAAAGGGGTATTTGGGCTGTGGGTTGTGTGACTTAAAAGAATTCCTTCTTCTTTTTCTTGTACAAAATATGGAATATCTTCTGTTTAAAAATGTTTTGGAGGTTCAAATGAGATCCAATCTTTATGAAATTTTTTGTGAACCTTCTCTGGAATATATCAAAGCCTCACAAAAAGATTCATAATTTTTGGAATCATGTTTATATTTTCTGAAATGTAAATCCATTTAAAATCAATTTCAGGTTTGAACTAAATGTAGGTGATAGGTTAGGGATAAAATCATGAAACAAATTGGGTAGCCTCTAAGTATTGTAGAAAGGCTATGTGCTAAGTTTGAAAGGCTATCATGCAATACACCAAAAAGGGAAATGGTTTTGTAATTCCCTAATAAAATAAATTGATAAAAGTAATTATTGTTTGAGTTTGGTTTATCTGTGAGGGTTTAACCACATATCTCTATCGTGTACTAATTACACACATGACACATCTAGTTCGTTTGTTACTACTGGGAAAAATCAAAACCACATATCTGTGAAAGTCTTTGGAAAATCCAAACAGTATACATGTCAGTACAAGGTTTGCCCGTCTCCGGTGAGGGAGGGGCGATGATGGCGGCGCGTCTTCGGCTCGCTCCAGTGCTTGTAGTCGTTGCTAGGTGGTCTACGGGCATAGATGTAATTTTTATTATTTCTTGTGTTTTTTGTACTGCCATGATGTTTGATGAATGGATCGGAAGTTTTTTCCGGAAAAACAAAGAATGAAAAGAAAAACATAAGTAATAACATAAAAATATATCACATTAGTGCACTGCAATCACACTTGCAGTTGAATTTCCCGGGGTGCTTTTACTTCATACCTACTCCCTCCGTCCCATAATATAAGATCGTTTCGCAAGCTAAAACAGCTTGCAAAACAATCTTATATTACAGCTTGCGAAACGATCTTATATTATGGGACGGAGGGAGTAGTTTACACTATTTCCTGTCAGAAAACTAACATGCTATCTGTACATGCAAGACATTTTAAAATTTAACTGTCTCATTGTAGTTGTTTTCTTATTCTTTTACCATCAGGTCACTCATTGTAGAAGCCGAGAAAGCTGCAAATGCTCTTGAGCCTGTTGCAGCGAAAATTCCATTTGCCCAAGCATCACTTATAGAAGCTAGAAAGCTTGTTACAGAGGCAAGAATGTCACTCGAAGGTGTTGATGATAATGATGGGCCAGCAGAAAGTTCTTCTGATGATACATCCGATGACTCGGGTGTATCGGAACTGCACAAGTTGGAGAATCAAAATGACCTTATTAAACAAGAGAATAAATTTGTAAATGGAATGAAGCTACCTCCAAGGACTGTTAATGGCATGGATTTCTATTTTGATGTGTCTGCACTAGGTGAAAAGGAACAACTCAGTATGTTTCAGAGGATAGAGAACTCCATGGAAAGAGCTTATTTGCTTCCTTCAGCTTTTTCAACAGCTCAAGATGTGAACGGAAATCCTGGAACAAATGATCTATATATCAGTGAGCAAGTGGTCAATAACGACCAGATCGACCGGATTGCAGCAGATACAACAGAATTTATTTCAGCAGAGCCACTAGAGGATGTGTCCTCACCTGCTAATAAGTCTAAGATGAGATGGGTACGTGGAAGACTAGTTGAAGGAGAAGAATAAACTAGGAGGTCTAAGGAGTCAAATCCTTGGGAGACTCATCATTAGAAAATGCTTGGATTTGCTTCCATTCTGCTAGGATCTGCAATTTGCAACAGGGAAATGCAATACTTGGAAGCAGATGCTCGTTGTTATCTAACTGGTGTGGACGGGATTGATTGGGATTCATTTATTGTTGGCATGTTCCTCCCTGGAAGAAATTGACGAGCATTCCAGGGAACGGCCTTCTGATGAGCATTGTAATTAGTAGTTGGGACTTTAGAAATTGCCCTCGGGTGTAGTCAGTTATAGGAGAAAACTGACTATAAATCATGATTAAGACGATATATTTATGGAATGCAATTCCCCTCAGCCCGTGTTTATTAGGCCCCTCACTTTGAGCCAAAGTTCGAGCATACCGCGTAACAAAAAATTTGTTATATGTAACAAAACTATATAAATGAAAACTTCTTTCCAACACGAATCAAACAGTATAAATTTTACTGACATTCTCTCCGCCCATAATATAAGATGTTATCACAACCTATGTTACTTACAAAGCTAGGGTTTCTGCCACCTGCCGGGGCAGCCGTAGATCCGCTCCTCCGATGGCCCTAGGGCCATGGGGACGTGATGGATCTTGGCAAGGGCCGGCGGGAGGGCTCCGTTTTTAGTTTTTCTTTTTTTTGCTAGGGTTCGTGTCCTGCTTTTAAGATGAGATGACGACGACTTTCTAAAAATGGAATAAAGGTCTTCCCGCCTAGACCTTGTTCTGTCGGTGCGTCTAGCAGCGTTGGTGGATGTGTGGAGGTGTGTCTCTGGTGGATCTATCTTTAGTGGATTTGCTCGGATCTCGTCATTGTTCGTCTATGTTCGTGTGTCTTCGAGTTGGATCCTTCTGATGTACGTTATTCTTCATCCACGGTGGTTGCTATTTTGGTGTGCTGGTCCTACGGGGCCTTAGCATGATGACTTTCTGACTATCTACTACAACAAGTTGTGCCCGACTCCGATGATGGAGGGGCAATGATGGCGGCGTGCCTCCGTCTCGATTCAGTGCTTGTAGTCGTCGCTAGGTGGTGATGAGGACATCAATACCATTGTTACACCCACAGCCCCTACTGCTACATATACGGGACCAATTACTAGAGCTCGCGCACGCCAATTAAATTATCAGGTACTTTCGTTTCTTAGTAATGATTCTAATGTTCATGAGAATATGATGCTGCCTAAATTGGATACATTTGTTTTGCTTACAAATGAAGGGCCTAGCTTGGAGAAGGATGAACATTGGAGCAAGAACAAGCATGGAGATGCCATGCGCAAGGGGAACAAGAACGGAGTTACAAGTGATGATTTCAGGACTTTGAAGCCACCATAATGGGTGCATGAAGCCTTGGACGAAATATACAAGATGCCACTTCATAAATTTCATCCCGAGGCTATTATAGGTGCTGCGTCACCTTTTTATTGGGCCAGGCCCATGTAATTTCGAAATACATAAGTATAGGCTATTTTTAGAGTCTGTATGTGTGGGGAAACAAGAGATAGGGTTGATTTCGGACCCCTCCACCAAGGGCCACGAAATTCCCCCTCTCTTCCTCCATATATACAGCCCTTAGGGCACCGTTTAGACTTTGGGTTTTGTTTAGATTAAAAGTTCGCCATAGCTGCAACTTCGCGTACTTCGTTTGTGTTCAACGACCAGACAAAGGCGTCACAGAACCCCACCTTGATCAATAAAGCTTTCATCTTATATTCGCAATATCCAGATTGCAATCTTAGTTTCTTGCTTGTTCTTCGTTTGCTCGCAGGAAACAGACCCTCGTAGTCAGGTTGATCGTGCTCCGGCGTGGTCAATAACCTCTCGGAGTTGGTTTAGCGACTGCTAAGGCGCGACGTCCTCGCACGTTCGTAGTCGGATCGTCAAAGTCGACTTCCACCAAAGCGAAATCCACCATCTCATCGAAAGACGGGACACCTTTGCCTCTATCAAGTGGTATCAGATTTTCAGGTTGCTCGGTGAGATTTTACAGTTTTTCGTAGTTTAGATCGAGTCTGTTCTTCATACCTATAGTCCACGAAAAAGCCAAAAAAATAGGGTTAGTTCATCACATCCGAACCAATCTGAGCCTTGCATAATCTTTTCTGTATTTGCTTTGTTGAATTTGCGGTTGCATCGTCGTGTCCAGTTGCTGGTCTTAGCGTCTAGTCTTTTAGAGTTTCGAGTTCTGTTCACAGGTTGTCACGTCGCCACTGCCATATATCACCACCGCATCATCATCGTCGCTGTTGCCATATACCACCACCACATATTCACCGCCAATCCGAATCCATATACGCCACCACATATCCGCCGCCATCACGCCAATCCGAGTTCACCTGCAACATATATCCGCCACCTGTCCGTGTTCCACCAGATTCATCTCCGCCACCAGTCCGAGTTCCACTAGATTCATCTCCGCCACCAGTCCTAGTCCGAGTCCAGTAATTGTTGCATTGTTCTCGATTTCCAGATCACGCGATACTCCGAGTCGTGACAGAGAAGGACTCCCCAACTTCCGAGCCATCCGCAAAAGAAAAATAGTTCCAATTTCAAAAAAAAAAACTAAGTCTGGAAAATTCTGGCTAGGCAGTTTTTAGACCATTTGTAGACTTTTTCGAAAAAAAATTGTTGCGGAGCAAAAAAAAAAGAGGAAAAAAAGTGCAAAAAAAAGAGAAAAAAAATTCAGAGTGTGCTCCTTCCTTGTTTACGTGCCGCGCCGTGATTTTGTTGGTGTTCTAGGCTCGCGTCTCTAGCACAGTCTAGCCTAGGACCAGCACAGTATCGTCGTTGAGCGTTTATTCAACTTTGCATCTCTGAATTGATTATTGCTGATCCTTTTTGCTACCATATTATAAGCCTTCCCAACTCCACATACATCTACGTCGTGCGTTTGACTCTCCCTGGTAATCGCTCTATCCAAGCTTTGAGAGTTTTGACTACAACGGTTGCCGATCACCGCCTGTTGCTGGGTAAGAACTGGTAAGAATTTGAGTTTTGCTTGACGGATTTGTGACACCCACCACCACCACTTGTTCGTAGTCTGTAGGATCATATTCTTGTGTGTTTCTATTGCTGCTAACCATGCCAGGATCACAAGCCGACGAGATTGACTGGGAGAATTTATCGAACAAGGAGCTTCATGATAAGTTTCAGCAAATGATGACTGAACAGGTGCAAGATGTGCTGAACAATTTTGAAGAGGCCATGGAGAAGATCACTGGCCTTGAGAAGACGTTCGAAACAAAGCTCGATAACAAGTTTAATGAATTGCTTGCGCGTCTTCCACCACCACCACCCGCTGCACCTAACGCACCTCTCCAACAACAACAACAACGACTACCTCCACGTCGCGAAACAGACCTCCGCCGAGCAAGCCGTGTTCCTCTTGCGTTTGGCCAAACTGTTGGTGCTACTGTTGATACTTTTGTGGCTCCTGCTGCTGATGCGGAGGAGGATGATTATGTGGGAGATTATGAGGATGAGGTTGATCAAAATCAGCACTACGTGCAGCCACCTGTTCCACCACCAGCAGGTCGACCTCAGGTATATATTCGTAATGGTAGGCCTGCACCACCACCTCAGGTACGAGATGATGTCCATATTCCTAAACTGAAATTGAATATTCGACCATTTGAGGGTAGATATGTTCCTGATATATATCTTACTTGGGAGTTAGAAACTGAACAACGATTTACATGTTTACAATATCCTGAGGAGAGACGAGTTGCTGCTGCTGTTTGTGCTTTCACTAGTTTTGCATGTGTATGGTGGTCTGAACATTGTAGATTATATCCTATTCCAACTACTTGGGCTGCTTTGAAAGCTGCTATGCGTACGCGTTGGGTTCCACCATATTATCAACGTGAATTGCTTCAAAAATTGCAGCGTTTAAGACAAGGGAAAAATTCTGTAGAAGAATATTATCAGGAATTACAAACTGGCATGATTAGATGTGGTATTGTTGAGGAGAATGAAGCTATGCTTGCACGATTTCTGGGTGGATTAAATAGAGAGATTCAGACCATTCTAGACTATAAGGAGTATACTAATATCACTCGTTTATTCCATCTTGCTTGTAAAGCTGAACGTGAAGTGCAGGATCGACAAGCATTGGGGCGAACTAACTTTTCTGCAGGCCGACCTTCATCATGGACACCACGTGCATCTTCTACTTCAACTGCACCAGCACCTCCATCCGGTGCCACCTTCACCCGTGATAAAAGAAAACAGGCACAACCACCATTATCTGCCAAGAGCGCACCTGCGGGGCCTGCACAGCGTTCTTCTTCTTCCATGGCATCAACAGGGCACACAAGTGATATTATTTGTCGTCGTTGTAAGGGAGGAGGTCATTATGCGAGAGAATGCAAATCTCCGCGTGTGATGATTGCTACCGCGGATGGTGGATATGAGTCCGCTAGTGACTATGATGAGGAGACTTTGGCTCTTACTACACGTGAAGAACATGGTGGAGATGATTCTGATCATGAGACGCAATACATGGCTCCTGAAGACGCTGACAGGTATGAATGTTTAGTTGCTCAACGTGTTTTGAGTGTGCAGATCACACAAGCTGAGCAAAATCAGAGGCACAATTTGTTCCATACCAAGGGAGTTGTGAAGGAACGTTCTGTGCGCGTCATCATAGACGGAGGGAGCTGCAACAACTTGGCTAGCATGGAGATGGTGGAGAAGCTTTCTCTCACCACAAGACCACATCCACATCCTTACTACATCCAATGGTTCAACAACAGCGGCAAGGTTAAGGTAACACGTACTGTTCGTGTGCATTTTAGTATCTCTACATATGCTGATTATGTTGATTGTGATGTGGTACCTATGCAAGCATGTTCCTTATTACTTGGTAGACCATGGCAATTTGATAAAAACTCTGTACACCATGGTAGAAACAATCACTATACTCTTGTTCATAAGGATAAAAATATTACTTTGCTTCCTATGACTCCTGATTCCATTT